ATACTTGGTAGTCCGTCGGGGACCGTCGGTACCGGCTCGTGTCTTATCGCGGTCGCTCGAGTGTGGGCTTGTTACCATTTTTTGATTGGGTTACTCAGTTCTCACTCGTTAGTAGCCGTTTTGGTTACCGGCAGGACTGTGCGTGCAATTAAACATGGATGAGTGTCGCTGCGTAATCGATCAACTACTAGAAAAGTCATTCTCCTTGTATAATTTTTAAGAAAAAAAGGAAATCGTTGAAAATGGAAGACCAACACCTATTTTAGATAATTTTAAAGAGGAAGAAAAAAACGTAGTTTGATATTTTAAATGAAGTTGGTATATGGAAACTCTTGATTATGTGGTTGCAAAAAACAAATTGTATTGTTGGCGATGTCTTCTGTTTTATACAGAAAAAATGGGTGGACCAGCAACGAAGTCAACGATTTAAATAGTTTTAGGGCTCTAAAGAGGAGACATGAAATTTCTTCGTTACATGTGAGATGTGTAGCCAATTTAATTCAGTTTGGCAAAACAAGAATCGAAAGTTGTCTTAACCAAGCTTTTAGGCAGCACACTTCTAGATACCGTATGTTTTTTGGCAAAACAGGAATTACCTTTCATTTTGAAGTGACAATAGATGAAATTACAGGGAATTGTTAATATTCATTGCCAAAAGGATCAAACATTTTCCGAACATCTAGAAACGTCGACTGTTTTTTCGGACGGCATGGATTAGTCATAGCATAAGACGATGAGGTATATCAAGTGCCCCAGTCGCTCAGTCCAGGAATGTCTACCTTAATTTAACAATGGTTTGAATAAATTACCTAAGAAAAGCAAAAACTTATATTTGGGAGGTTCAAAATAAACTTTTTTTAATAAGATTTTTCACATCTGGTTTTAGTAACAGTCTAGGAAAGGTCACGCGTCACCACTGCGATATTCTTTATAAAGGAATAAGTAAATATATTCCCTTGAAAAAATCCAAACCGTCAAATTTTCCATACTGGTTCACTGCGGATTTTAGGAAATTGATAAACAAGAAAAAATTGCACATAAGAGATAAGATCACTCACTAGTGGTGTTTCTGACTATTATGAATTTGCCAGATTGCGGCAAGTGCTCAGACCTAAGGGATATATGCTTTGATGAGCATATAATTCACACCGAAAATAGTATTGCTAATAAATAATACAGCGTATTTCTGGAAATATGTCAAAAAACAAAACGACTGTTACAAATTACCAACTACTATCACATGCAACAATCAAACTAGCAACAATAGCGACGGTATAATTATACATAATCGAATACCTCGCCGTCCAGATCGACTTCCTGAACATCAATCACCCCGCTTCAGAGGTAGTTCTTCTCGGTGATTCCAATGCTCATAATGAGCTTTGGTTGGGCTCAAATAAGACCGATGCAGCAGGTCGTGCAGTCGAAGCGTTCGCTCTTACTCAAGGGCTGACCCAGCTGGTGACGAGCCCTACTTTTTTCCCCCGCGTCTCGTCACACGCCAGTAGCCTGCTGGATCTCTTTCTGACCACGCATCCTACCCCTTACAGCACTGCCGTCCTGTCCCCCCTGGGTAACTCAGATCACGGTGTTGTGGAGGTTAGGTTTCGGTCAGAAGCCGCTGTGGCCGCAGAAACTCGCACAGGCCGCAAAACTTGGCATTACGGACATGCCGACTGGGAGGGGCTCAGAGACTTCTTCTCTAGCTTTCCTTGGAGATGTCTGTTTCACTGACGCGGATGCGTCGACTGTCTGTTCTTCAATAACCGAAATTATCCACGTCGGAATGGAGGAATACATCCCTCACACAGTGAAAGTTCCTAAACCAGGGTCCAACGGCTGGTTCAACAAATCGTGTGACACTGCTCACCAGCAGAAGATCAAGGCCCACAGAACCTACTTACACAACCCCACTGCAGAGAACAGACAAGCCGACGTCGAGTCCAGAAACAAATATAACGAAGCGGTTCGCAATGCCAAAACCCAGCATGATATAAAAGTTAGGCACAGGGTAATGTCGCAGCGCAATGGCAGTCGGTCTTTCTGGACGCTGGCCAAGCAGATTGAAAAGAACTTCTCACACAGTAGCCTTCCACCACTTACGTGTCAGGATGGAACTATTGTATTCGACTCAAAGGCCAAGGCGGAAGTGCTAGCCAAGATCTTTGCTGCCAACTCCACCATGGACGTCCCCACCAACGCCCAAGTGCCGTCAATTCAAAGGGTTCCCCACACTATGCGGGAGGTAACATTCAGGCATAAGACCGTAAGACGAGTGCTCTTGTCGCTCGACATCAGCAAAGCTTCTGGTCCGGACTTGATTCCTGTCATTGTACTGAAGAGATGTGCAGCTGAGCTTGCTCCAGTTCTTTCGCGTCTCTTCCAGATATCTTATGAATCCGGCACCTTCCCAGAAAACTGGAAATTTGCTCATGTACAGCCCATCCCAAAAAAAGGATCTAAAACCGACCCTTACAACTACAGGCCTATAGCTCTGCTTTCTGTTATAAGTAAAGTGATGGAGAGGTGCATAAATCGCGAGCTTCTGGACTACCTCGAACGTCACAGCTTGATTAGCGACAGGCAGTACGGTTTCCGGCACCAACGATCCACAGGGGACCTCCTAGCTTACGTCACGCAACTGTGGAGTAAACTCTTCCAGTCTCATGGTGAGGCTCATGTCGTTGCTCTTGACATCACGAAAGCGTTCGATCAGCTGTGGCACGCTGCCCTCTTGAGCAAACTTCCATCCTACGGCCTCCCAGAAAAGCTTTGCAGATGGGTGGCTGACTTTATCTCTGGCCGCAAGATATCCGTCGTAATTGACGGATTCTCCTCTTCATCCCACAACGTCAACGCGGGTGTTCCCCAGGGATCGGTCTTGGCTCCAACACTGTTTCTCTTACATATCAACGACCTCCTTTCCTGCTTCGCTGATGACAGCACTCTACATGCAGGAATTCAGAGTGACAAGCCGATCTCTGCCGCTGAGCTGGAAAAAAGAAGACTAGCGACGACTTCTTCTCTGACAAGAGACCTGGAGGCTATCACTGCTTGGGGACGCAACAATCTTGTACAGTTCAATGCTTCCAAAACACAGTACTGTACTTTGACGAACGAAAAGCGTCCTAGCGCTCATACAGTTTCGATGGACGGTCGAGTTCTACCAAAGAGCCATTCATTTCGGCTGGTCGGAATCCAGATCACCGAGGACCTGATCTGGCACGAACACATCTCTTCAATAGCTGCAGCTCCTGGGAAAAAGCTAGGCTATTTGTTTAGGGCTAAGAAGTACTTTTCTCCGCATGACCTTCTCACTCTATACAAGGCCCAGATAAGGCCTAGCCTCGAGTATTGCTCACACATTTGGGGTGCTGCCGCCCCGACTACATTGTCCATGCTCGATGCTGTCCAGAGGAGGGAGGTCCGACTGATCGATGACTCTTCTCTAACAGACAGTCTCGGGACTCTTTCGCACCGGCGGGCCGTCGGCGATCTAGCTCTTTTCTATCGCTACACCAACGGGCTTTGCTCCTCAGAGCTCTCTTCCATGATGCCGCCGCGCGATGTGCCTGCCAGACGGACCCGCCTGACTTCGGCGTCCCATCCTAACCGTGTCAAACTTCGTACATCCAGAACTGGCCGATACGACCGCTCCTTTGTCCCGAGGGTGTCTAGATTGTGGAACAATCTACGGGAGGAAGCTTTTCCCAGTTCTACTAATCTTAGGCAGTTCAAAAATCGTATTAACAAAATTTCTTTGGGATCATCATAGCAGCCGCGGTGTTCCGGCATTTAGGCTTCTGCCTGCGCGGCTGTTTCGATATAAAAAAAAAATAAAAGGAACAGTATTGATGTAACGAGATATCAATGTAATATTCAGGAAATCATAGATACTGTGCTGAAAGCCCCCTGGAAGCTATCTTATGGACCGGATGGTATTCCCTTATTTGTTTTAAAAAAGTGTGTTTTCACTCTTGCTAAGCCACTCCTATCTATCTTCAACCTATCTTTAGATTTCGGTGTGTGTCCTGACTAAATACCAATTACTAGTCTGAACCCAAGAATAATGTGGAAAACTATTCCCAAGCTTTTAGATTACCTGGGATCTAATAAACTGTCTTGGGACACGCGACATTTAAGTAATGACCAACAGCATGGCTTCACTGAAGGTGGATCGACTGCTACAAATTTAATCATTTATAAGAACATCATAATAACTGATTCTCAAAACAAGCTTCAAGAAGACTCTATCTACATGGATTACACAAAAGTTTTTGACAGAGTAAATCAGGATCTGCTTTTGGCTAAATTGGAAAGTTCGGGAGGATCAAGTAGTCAACTATACTGGTTTTGAAGCTACCTGTCAGGACGGACACCCTGTGTCGGATGTGCTGGTTCATTATCTAATACCATCAATGTCTTTTGAGGTGTACCTAAAGGCTCCCACATTGGTCCAGTGTCATTTAGTTTATTTGTTAACGATGTTGCAGAAGCTATATCAAATAGCAGTTTTTTGATTTTTGAAGATGGTCTTAAATTACAGTGAGAAGTATCTAGAATGCGGAAATCTTACAAAGAGATCTCGTAACTCTTACTCAGTGGTGTAGTACTAATAAGACCAACATCTCCAGATAGACCGAATGCCATTCCGCTGCGACATTACCCTATGCCTAACTGTTATTTGGCATTGCGGACTGCTTTGTTATATTTATTTCTGCACTCGTCGTCGGCTTGTCTGTTCTCTACAGAGGGGTTTTGTGAGAAGGTTCGGTGTGCCTTGATCTTCTGCTGGCCAGCAGGGTCTCACGATTTGTTGAACCAATGTTGGATCTTGGCTTGGGCTCTTTTACTGTATGAGGTATATATTCCTCCATCCCGACGTAGATAATTCCGGTTATCGACGAACAGATAGCCGACGCATCCGCTTCAGCAAATCAAACATCTGTCCCAGGAAATGTGGAGGAGTCTCTGAGCCTCTCTCAGTCGGCATGTCCGTAATGCCAAATTTTGCGGTCCGAGAGAGTTTCTGCTGCCACAGCAGGTTCTGACCGAAGCCTCACCTCCATAGCATCGTGGTCTGAGTTACCCAAAGATAACAGCAGTGCTGTAACAGACAGGATGCGTGGTCAGAAAGTGATCCAGCAGGCTACTGGCATGTGAGGTGGTGGGTGAAAACAGTAGGGCTCGTCACCAGTTGGGTCAGCACTTGAGTAATAGCGATTGCTTCAACTGCACGACCTGATGCATTGGTCTTGTCTGAACTCAACCAAAGCTCATTGTGGACATTGAAATCATCGAGGAGAATTACCTCTGAAGCGTGGTGGTTGACATTCAGGAAGTCGATCTTGACTGCGAGGTATTCAAGTGGGTCATCCTAGTTATGGTCTGAGGGTGAGCGACAAAAGCAGCAAATAAATTTGGGGGATGTGTTGGAGTTGAGATGAAGCCACATGATGTCCTTCCGGTCTGAAGAAACATCTCTTGAACAGCAAGGACTGCTGCGGACAAAAGCCACAATTGCCCGTTCTTTCTCATTCCTCGTAATTTGGGAAGCTAATACACCAAATTGCTCGGAAACGTGCGTTAATGTTGCGTTTCAGTATAATGGCTGGAATTGAAGTATTAGGTATCTTAATATTACTAGAATTCTGTATTGTACAAACGGTTAGAGTTTGTATGAAGCAGGAGACACTTTGACAAAGTCTCTTTGATGTTATGGGCCCAACTCTGTTGCAATACTAATTGCTATCACTTTGGATTTATCGAAATATCTTGCACTTCCTTGATTAGACGTACAACTCCTTTGACGCAGCATTCGCTCAAGATAATATTCCAGCAGACGCTTTGTAATTGGTGCTGATCAATTGCAATAGAATTCCGGGAATTCTACCGAACGACTCGGTTATTACGGAATATACTGGATGTTGTGAATACGCCGCACCAATGTGGAGCTTTTAGAACAAGGCGTCTTAACAATCGCACAGGATCCGTGTTAAACCAGATCTCTAAAGATCTGACTGATGTATAAAACCACACACAAAAGGGGTCAGCCTGGAACGTGAGCCCAACCATCCTTATAATACGTTTTTTCTGGTAGCTGAAACCGAATCCCGGTCCGTTTAGTTCGAAAATGCTCTGGTTTTGAGATACTTGCAGGGATGCGACTTGGCCAAAACGACTGATGAAAAATCTAAAAAAATGGTTGCCCAACTATGATATGGATGGAGGCTTTCTAGATAAGTCGGGTGCGTAGAGTCCGAATTCCATGTCAAAAATTATTGCGCATCTGTGATTTGGATATAAGCTTGTTTTCCAAGCAAATCTATTATGTAGATTTCGATTTTGATGTCAACTTAGTGCTAGGATTAATGAGTGGACCGGGTAGCAGTAATTTGGCACCATGACCCTTCAGGGTTTTTTTCACGATGTTATAAATAATCATACAGATTACCTTAATGTACAGAGCATCGATTGCATATCGACATCGATAAAGGAAATTTATTTTTAGCAGAGTCGCAAGTATTGCATAGTTTTGCAATTTGGATTTGGATCATACACATATGGGATGACTTTGAATCCGGTTTTAGCCACACAAAATACGTACGATAGAGGTCATTTGAACTGCATTTAAAGCATTTTAATTTTTAGTGACCATGTTACGAAAACGTGATTAAAACCATCCTTATAATACGTTTCGTGGGTTCCTGAGACCGAATGTGGGGCCGATCAGTCCGAAGATGCTACGTTATCGAGATACGAGGGATGTCTTTTAAGTTTTGCATATAGAAACATAGTAGGCCGCGCGGATCGAACGTCAGTACTGAATCTTAACTTCACTCTTTAGTAAACTTAAATACAAAGTTTCACAACAATACGTGCAGTGTTCTCACTACAGTGAATTTTTAAGTGTCACCAAGTCATTAGAAAAATGGAACTCAACCGAAAACATTTTCGCGCCATAATTTATTACAACTTTCAGAGACAATTATAGCAAGAAGAATGCCTTGCTAAGTTACTGTCTGTATTCGGCAACGAAGCGCCACATCAGTCGACAATTTCCCGTTGGTATGGAGAATTCAAACGTGGACGGGTGAGTCTTAGTGACGATCCCCCGGTGGGTGTACCAAAAACGGCAGTCACCCAGGAAAACGTCGATGCTGTGCGCAAACTCGTCATTGAAGAAAGACATGTGACATATCGCAAAATTGAGGCGTCCTTGAAGATCTCAAAGACCTCAATTCAAAACACTTTACATCAAGAATTAGGAGTAAGAAAATTAGTTTCTCATTGGATACCCCACCTGTTGACTGAAGAGCAGAAAGCAGCCGGGGTTAATTGGTGTCAAAAACCACTTGGCCGTTTCAATTCCGGAAACTCAAAGAACGTGTACAGCATTGTTAGTGGTGATGAATCGTGGAATTATTGTTATGAACGAGAAACTGAACGACAGTCGGATGTTTGGGTGTTCCAAGTTAAATAAAAGCCAACAATAGTCATCCGTTCTCGAAGTGTTTCGAAAAAGATGGTCGCGACATTTGTGTCAAAAGCGGGTCATATTGCAACAATTCCTCTTAATGAGCACAGAACTGTTACTGCGGATTGGTATACCACCATTTGTTTGCCAAAAGTTGTCACCGAGCTTCGAAAAATCAACCCCGCAAGAAGAATCATCCTCCACCAAGACAATGCAAGCTCGCACACAGCCCAAAGAACAAGGCAGTATTTAACGGAAGAAATCGTGGAATTATTGGACCATCCTAAATATATTACCGATCTAAGTCCTAACGATTTCTTTACTTTCCCGAAAATTAAACACAGACTGCGTGGTTAAAGGTTCCAGTCACCAGAAGAAGCAGTTGACGCATTCAAAGATGCCGTTTTGGATCTGCCAGCAAACGAGTGGAATAGGTGCTTCGAAAATTGGTTCGAGCGCATGCAGATGTATATTAATCTTCGTGGAGAAGACTTCGAAAAACAATAAAGTCATTTAAAACTACCTACCGTGTTGTTTTATTTCCATATGCAAAACTTAAAAGACATCCCTTGTAGTTCCATTTTGGTTCTGGATCTCGAAATTATCAACTCTAACAGCTAATGAAGTTAGCTTCTGTCTGCCGGAAAGAACAACTACTTCCATCTTCCCAAGAGCCAACTTCAAGACATTTTCTTCCATCCATATGGTAATTCTCGTGATTCCTTATGCCAAGAGTCCTTCAAGTGTATCTCCTTGCTAGACTACAACTATTTAAAACTGTAATGACTCATACGCGTGATCAACACGTGATCAGAGCTCGATCCCGGCTTCCTTCCAGTACAGCCGTATAGCGTACGACATATGTCGTTTCTGTGGCTTTGCGGTGGTCAACAGCACAGACAGAGATGGAAATAATGGCTGATTGTTCTCCGCCGGTAGAACCAATCAAAATCAAAGACGCGCCTCGACCGGCAGACTCATAGGCGTCGGCAACGCATTGGAACGTGTTTCGTTGAGCGATCGCATATTGTGTGTTTTTATAAGAATTGTTGTGTGATTGTTATTGCTGTGGTTTCTGTGGTTACTGTTTTGGTTATACTTAACCATGGAGAGTACAAATGGCACGAGTGGAAGTACTGAAAGCCAGGGAACAAGTAGACGGCTTCGTATAGCACTGAAGAGGGACGCGAAAGAAATCGTGCTCAACGTGTTCAATTATCTGAACAGAACTATGTCGCAGGGAGATGCACTCGCGCGTTGTGAAAGTATGACAGGCGTTCCAGAGTGGACCATTCGCAGGGTGGTGTATGAAAAGAAGAAGACTGGAGCTACTACTGATCCAAAGTTTAATTTGAAGGGACAAAAGGCCGTTAAATTGGATGACGATAGCAAAATGGCGTACATTCATTCTTCTTTAGGAATGAGATACCAACCCTCAAGGCTGTACATGCAGCGATCAAGGAAAATGAAATTACACCCCAAATGAGCGTCGAGGTAATGAGGAAATCCCTGCACGAAATTAATTTTCCTTACGAAACGCGTAATCGGAAGTCAGTATTGATAGAAAGACCTGAAATAGTCACCTGGCGTCGAAAATACCAAATGATTGAATATAGGCGACGAAGCAGAAAAATCTATTATTTGGACGAGACATGGGTAAATACAGGTCACACAGTTAAAAAAACCTGGTTAGATAAAAACGTAGTGAGTAACCGACAAGCAAGCATTGAAGGTTTGTCAACAGGTCTTCGTGGACCGTCAGGGAAAGGTCAAAGATTGATCGTAACTCATATTGGTAGCGATAGTGGCTTTTTAGAAGAGTGTGACTTGATTTTCGTCTCTACGAAAGGAGGTGATTACCATGACGAAATGAATGCCAGCTGCTTCGAGAGCTGGTTTCAAGGGGTGCTTCAGCGAGTTGAGCCCAACTCTGTGATCGTCATGGATAATGCTTCCTACCATAGTCGTCGAGCCGAACGTGTACCGACTATGGGATCTCGAAAAACTGACATGCAGCAATGGTTGCGCGAAAAAGGAATCCCGTTTGACGATTCATGTGTGAAAGCGGAATTGTATGAAACAATTAAGCAGCACAAACCTGCGAACATTAGTTACGTGACTGATGAGATGGCCCGTCAATGTGGTGTGACTGTGCTGCGGTTACCGCCCTACCACTGTGAACTGAACCCAATAGAGCTCATCTGGGCTCAAGTGAAGGGTTATATTGCGCGCCATAACACAACCTTCAAATTACCAGACGTTAAGGTTTTACTTGAGATTTCCATACAGCTAGTAATGCCCGAAGCTTGGCAGAATGCTATCCGTCATGTTGCGAAGGAAGAAACAAAAATGTGGCAGCTTGACCACCACATCGACACCATCATAGAGCCAGTTATAGTCAATTTCAACGAGGAAAGCGATAGCGACAGTTCATTACTGTCAGATGTAAGTGGATGCGACAATGAATAAAGGTAATTCCCAAATTTTTGACTTACAATATGTTTCAAATCACTCTTTATTAAGCATGTGACAAATCTAGTTCACCCATGTTAAACATTCATACCCCGCCTATGAACAGCCGACTGCTGGTAGTTTAGTGATGTTCACGTGAACATCGATGAGTCATTACAGTTTTAGATAGTTATAGTATAGTCACTATCATCGCCAAGTCGTCACCATACGCCATCAAGCGGCAGCATCTGTAACCGAAGAACCCCACGTTTCAAAGAGATGGCCCTCGGACGGAGCCCTGCAGCACTCCCATGGTTACCTTCATCGTCTTTTGCCCTACCATAAGTGTCCTCTCGTGTAGTAGTTAGTAGCTCTTTATCATGTTCATAAGAGAACTGGCATGTACAACCACTCGTTCCCTCCTGAGGAGAGTTCTTCCAATTCCGCCAGTCTTCGATAGTTCAAAAATTGGATCAACAAGACGTCTTCAAGCTTCTAGTAGCAGTCGCGGTGCCGCGGTATCTAGGGTCCTACCTACGAGACTGTTTCAGTATAAAAAAAATGGAAAATCGAATGAATATACAAGATAATGATACTACGCATGGGGGAGATACAGCTTAGGTTAAATTAGGAAAAAGTTTCGTTCTTTAAGGTGAACTTGCATGCTGCTGAGAAACTTGTAAAAATATAGATACATTTTCATTTTTTCTGATTTTATTTATGGAAATATCAAAAAACTAATGACTCTTGTATTGGCAATTTTAGTCACTACATAATGGTATTTGTAAATTTTGTCCCCGACAGTTCATCTTTGAGAAACCATGATCAACTTTATTTTATATATGGTCCGAAAAAATGTACACCCTGTATCCAATAGCATTTTTTATATGAATTCAGCGAAATAAGACGTTACATTTATTTTCTTCATTATTTGATGTTTTTATTTTTTTTAGCAGGCATTGCAAACAATAGCTTGATTTGACGTAAATACCTGTCACATAGTATTGTTATTATTGTATTGCTTTATTATCGTCAAAGATATCTGGCGGTCATTTTAGCAATGAGGAAAAGTTTGACGTGCTGGCGTGCTGCCCTTTGTGCTACAAAAATACAAAAGACACTGCAGAAATGTATTTTAATAAATTTCTCGAAGGGAGGCAGCCAAGTGGGTCCATTTTTAGAGTTGGCTCGAAATTTAAATTAATGGTTCATTCAAAAAGCCTGCTACGTCTCGAAAAAAAGCAATCGGCAGACGAAACTCAGAATAGTGTTTTACAAGCAGTTGCTGACAACTCTGAGATATCCAGAAATCCACAGGCCAATTTGTTTTGCGCAAAGATAGATATAATAATAATAATAATAATTTTAATAATAATAATAATAATAATCATAATTATAAACGTCTTCGTGAGTGGTAAGAGATTTTAATTTCTCTTCAAAAATAATATGGTCACTAATAATGGTATCTCTAATCGCCACAACATTCGTTACTGAGCTTAAAAAAATCTGCGTGCTAAAAAAGTATCCAGACATCAAGAACGTTTTTTTTAATATGTGGTGTGGAATTATAGGGGCCAAAATATCAGGTCCACTTGCTTACCACAACTCGTTAACTGCAGAACGGTACCTCCAATTGTTGAAACATGATCTAGAAGTCTACCTGGATAATTTACCTTTGACACAGGTTAATAGCTGTTGGTTTCAACAAGACGGTGCTCCTGCACATAACTCTAGGCAAGCAACCAAAACAAGGGCACAATAACACCCCAGCCCTTCATATATGAAAACACCACCTTTAAATGGGAACCAAATTGAGTATTTGGCTAATCGTAAAAAGCCGCTTAGAAAGTTTCGAAATTCAAAGCACTTGCGGAGAGAGACCGAAAATATCTAATTTTCCCAAAACCGTTTTATTTTTTCCTGACCTTATTTGTAGTGGAATTTCAAAATAAGTTGCACATTAACGTTGCCACTTTTTCCCCTCTACAGGATGGCATAATTAGAATTTCAATATAGTGTTTAATAGATTATCCTCCACCATCAACATTATTTCTTTTTAGAGACACATTAGATTTTTTGATGAAAGCATAATTTCCCTTGGCCTTGAAATTATCAGACATTTCGCCAACCAGATTTATCTCAAAATCGCTTTTATATTTTCCCGATTTTATTTGAGAAAGGATTCCAAAATAAATTTCATGTTAATAATTTCAATTTTTCTGCTCCATAAGATGGCATAATCAGCACTTCAATATAACTTTTCGTCTCTTGTCCTCCAGCATTAACTTTATTTTTTCTTATGGACGCCATATTGGATTTTTGCGCCGAATATTAGAGTTTTTAATTTTGATTCCAAAAATGTATAACATGGCTTACATTGAAATTGCCGAGCATTAGTTATTCCTGAAAAACAAAAGTTCTAAGGTAGGTCTTGAAATTATCAGATTTCATTTGTTTCGTATACCAGACCAGACCTCAAATTGAACATGGCAACAGAGTTTGGGAGATTGAGAATGAGATAAATAAATCGAGCAGTGAACATTGTACATAGAAGAGTCAGGCTTCGCCTACAAAATAACGGACCACATGTGGATTTGGAACAACTGCTATGATTTGTCTCTACTTATTTATGATCATTATTGTTATTACCATCCATAACATTTTCATTTTGTGTTCAGGTTTCACCATACCTTTTCATTTCCTTATAATGTTCATCGAACAACTTTTGATCAACCAACCACTGAATTTAGGACTGAAAAGTCCATTTATATGTACAAAATTCCAATATAGCGTCCATATGAAAAAACAAAGTTGGTGATGGAAGGCGAAAGGAATAGTATCGAATTGAAAATTTGACTACGCCATCTTTTACAAAATAAGTCACAATGACAACATGCAATTTATTTTGAAATCTCATCTCAAATAAAATGACTATCTGAGAATTTCACGGCCTACCTAGGAAATTCTGCTTTTTGAAAGGTTTGGCAATGTCAATGTTTGACGTATTTTTGATTTTTGGAAGCAGAATAAAAAACACTATTCATCTGATAAAGTTG